GCCATCATTGTTGTTTGGCGGGTCCGGGCTGGGGATTCGAACCCGCCACCTTAGGTGTACGTGGCTGGCGCCCCAGCCAGTTGAGCCATAGGCGCCAAGCCGTATCTGTTAGTTCTTACGCTCATTCTCAATCCTTGCCATAGCCCTTTGGAGGAGGTCTTACTTTCTTTTTTTTTTTGAGACAGAGTCTTACTATGTTGCCCTCAATAGAGTGCTGTGTTGTCATAGCTCACAGCAATCTCAAACTCCTGGAATTAAGTGATTCTCTTGCCTCAGCCTCCTGAGTAGCTATGACTACAGGCACCCACCACAACACCCGGCTATTTTTTTGTTGCACTTGTCGTTGTTTTAGCAGGTCCGGGCCAGGCTTGAACCCGCCAGGCTCAGTGTATATGACTGGCACCGTAACCATGGGCGCTGTGCTATGGGCACCGAGCCAAGAAGTCTTCTCATTTTTCCTGTGTGGTGCTAATACCCACCTAGGAAGGGTAAACGGTCTCCAGAAGCGTGGAGGGGGATGGGGACCCAGGCAGTCCGTATCCCAGGCCTTCTGCCCAGAAGTATCATTGTTCTCTGCAGTGACTTGACATTGTTACATGAATTTCAGAGGCTTTTTTAGGTTCATGGTAGCAAAACAAGCAAATGTGTTAATGGCCCACATCAATTCCCAGCAATTTCTCAAAGATCAATATAAAAGCAATTTGGAAAATGGTTTTGCTTAAAGTAAGAGGATCCTCTGAGTATAAGAATTTTAGTCATCTATATTAAAAGGTTCTTTTTAAGATAATACAGTTACGTTGTCATTTTATGGAAACTAAATGGATTTTTCATTTCTGTTACAGCTAGGATAAAGGAGCTGCATTAACAGCTGAGTGTGCAGCATAGACACACTGGATTCATGACTCGTATCTGACACTAGCCAGCTTTGTGCTTGAAACACGTTGACCTCCTAGACTTTACCTAACACCTGTAAATCAGGGTCTGGTTTGTGCTTTTCTTCTCAGGAGTTAAGATGAGGACTAGAGGAGAGGGTGCCTGACAGGTGCCTTGCATAGTATTTGCACATGGGGCATGTCTTGTAAATTTTAGGTCTTAACTGGCATTTGGTTGGACACTGAGTTTATTTTGGTGAAGTTTTTGGTCACTCCTCTGGATTCCTTTTCTGCATGGAGTTGAGGGCTCTTTTTGAGGTTGGAGAAGTTGTGGCTATAGAGCACGGGGAAGCCCATGGCCTTGAGCTGGCCGCACCCTCCTCAGCTTTGCATCCCGGTGTGTGACTTACCTTCTCTGATCCTCCTCCTCCTCCAGGAAAGTTGTAGCATCTTGAGGAGGCATCATGAGGGTCAAGCTCATGATTCTATGTCCAGCACTGGGTTTTCTTGAAACTAGTCCTTTAAAGGAAAAATAAAAATCCTGTGATGTCATCTATTAAATAAAAATCATCTAAAAATATCAATTTAATAAACTTTAGAGCTTGCCTTGTTTATATTTGCCTAAGAAATATAACTAAATTTCTCTTTATTCCCTTTGTAGGTGCTGGAGATCAGAATTTATTTACCTCTATTTACCCAACGCTTTCCCAGCAGCTGCCAAGAGAACCGATGGAATGGAGAAGGTGTGGTGTGTTTGTTTGGGGCAGTATCCCCTTCATGCTATAGACATTTATGTGAGCTAGCCAAGCAGCACCGTTAAAAGCCTGTTATAAAGAAAAGGAATGGCATATAAGCTGTGGGTCTTATTCTTTACAGAACAAGATGATTCTTCTTCTTCTTCCTTTTTTTGGAAAATTTATTTATTTTGAGACAGGATCTTTCTCTGCTGCCCAGGGTAGAGAACAGTAGAGTTATAGACCACTATGACTTCAAACTCCTGTGCTCAAGTGCAAGGGTAATTTTCTTAATGAAATGATGCATGGTAGAAACAAGGACAGTCCTTTGTAGTTAAAGACTCACTTTTATAGGAATGTCTGTGACTCTTCATGGTTAGGCAGTTTGCAGATGAGATAGGAACTCACTTAGAGTCTGACTTAGAGCAGAGGATACGGGTTGAATGTACTTACGGGAGCCCCCTTTCTCCCTGAGCCCCTGTTCACTTTTGCTAAGGATGGAAGGTGTATATAGAAAGATGTTAGTTAAAAACTAGAGGTAAAGCCAGATCAGCAGTCCCAGTGGCTCTTTTGTATGTTTATAATTGGTCGTCTGGTGACTCGTTCAGAGGAAATCATTGGGAATCATCTTGGTAAACTTATTTTTGGTAAGGGCAGATATTATTTGTGGAAAATGTTTGGATTTTGTCTTGCCAATAAAAGTCATCTGACCTTAACCAGGGTGTGTGCACAGAGTACCCCATTGTTGTTTGTTTGTGTGTAGTTCTGATTCTGCGGCATCATTCCTTTCTGACAACCAGTTTGTGCCCTAGTGAATGAAGAGTTAACGTAGCTTTCCAGGGGTGACACACCCAGGCTCTCTACTGAAGGTCTAATTTCTGTGCCTGATTATAGTGTCTTACAGAGAGTGCATTTAACTACTAACTTAACTACTAGTGTCTTACAGAGAGTGCACAGAATGTAAGAGGAAAATTCATCAACTTATGAGGAGGTCTGATGCTGTGAAGGAGAGAAAATAAGTTTAGCAAATCAAGGAATTTCACACCTGAAGAAAAAGACTACTCAGTAAAGGATTTTAACTAAGTCTATACTATTTAAACATTCAGAAAGATAAAAGAAAAAAAAGTGTTCATGAAACAAGAGAGGGTTATGAGAAAAAACCTGAAATAAACTATGTAGATTTAATACATATATTTATCTCTTCCTCCTCCTGGAACCCCACTAAATGGATCAAATTAACACTAAACAAATAAATGGACTGGAAAAATGGACCAAATAAATACTCAACACCAACTTATAAAGGATGAAAAAGCATGAATACACAAGACAGAGGAAGGGAGAAGAGATGGCAGCGGCCAAGAGACCCGGATATGTGTTTGGGAGAAGGAAGACAGCTGGAGGGACTGGGGAAGGAAGCTGAGAAGTCAGTTCTTGTCGGTCTGCAGAGGTGGTGCCAGAGGGGAGTCAAGTCTGTAATAGGTGAAGAAGTGCAGGAACTTGGAAGGCCAGGGTGAGAATAGGGCTGGAGAGGGTTGGCAGAGGCAAAGACAAGGGCTGCTTAATCCTTGGGCCCCGCTTCAATCTGTATGAGGTGACTGTTCTTATCCCCCCTCTGCCGGAGCCTGGAGGGTCTTTCTGTGGACGGAGAAGACCCAGACCCTAGATAGGAGGTCCTGCAGCAGGCAGGGAGAAGTGTATTCTTAAGCCAGGGAACTGAGTTCTGGACTGGGCACAGCTCAGACCCAAGGACCCTGTAGCCAGTCATACTTTCTAGGCAAAAGAGTAGAGAATTTGCTGGGCATGGTGGCTCACCCCTGTAATCCCAGCACTGTGGGAGGCTGAGACGGGAGGATTGCTTGAGCTCAGGAGTTCAAGGCTCGTCTGAGTGAAAGTGAGACCCCCGACTCATGAAAAAAATTGAAAAATCCAGCCGGGCACAGCAGCAAGCTCTTGTAATCTCAGCTGCTTCAGAGGCTGAGCCAGCAGGATGCCCACAGCCCGAGTCTAAGGTTGCAGTGAACTACGATATAGCTCTCTGCTCAAGGGTAGAACTCTGTCTCTACAAAAAAAAAAAAAAAAGTAGAGAATTTATCTCAGGAAGTTGGATGCACCAGAAGAAAGAATGCATGTTCTCCTTTTCAGAAACAACAGGGATGTTTACTATCCATCTTAGGAAAGGGGTGTGTGAGGGAAAGTGTGTCCAACTGAACCCTCAGAATGTGCCTCTCCTGGAGTATGGGTCCTTCAGATAAGGATCTCAACATGAGATCACTCTGGGTCAGGGTAGACCTTAAATTCAGTAACACACATCCTTACACAGAAGAAAAGATACAGAGACACACAGGGGAGGTGGCCATGTAATGATAGAGGCAGAATTTGAGTGACGCAGCCACAAGCCAAAGAACGCCAAGGGTGGCCAGCAGCCCACTGGGGCTGGGAGAGGCAGCGCTCCCCACAGGGCTCCTGGAGGGAGCTAGCTCTGCTGACACTTAGATTTTAAGTCTGGCTGCAGGACGGACGTGTGAGAGGATAAACTCTATTGTAAGCCTCTCAGCTTGTGGCAGCACGTCGCAGCATCTCCAGGACATAATACAGAAGGGCGACACGTGCCGTGGTGGGAGGCTGTGGTACAAATGTGACCCTGAAGTTTGTGTTTGTGCCTTCTTGAACTGATGTCAGTATCATGGGGTGGGGTTCACTGTCTTGGGAGTGGCCTTGCTACAAAAGTGAGTTCTCCCCGGCTCTCACTCCTGCCCTTTGCCCTGTTACACTGCCGCAGGAGGCCCTCACCAGATGTTGCACATTGGTATGAGACTTCTCAGCCTCTAGATCAGTGGTTCTCAACCTGTGGGTCACGACCCCTTTTTAACAGTGAAAATACAAACACATTGCAGCGTTACGAGGTTGAGAACCATTGCTGTGGACTGTGAGCCTGGATAAACTGTTGTTTGTAAATATCCACTCTCTGGTACTCTGCTATTGCCACAGAAAACAGACTAAGACATGGGCATAGAGTGTGTGTGTGAGAGAGAGAAAAGCCTTTTAGTATTTGATGTTTTAAAGTATGTCTATATTTGATAAAAAGCAAACATTGACTAGATCTTGTAAATGAGAAAATATTAAGAGAGAAAGTACGAGATGCACTGTACACCTGTGTAGCTGAAGAGCAGACTAGTGAGTTGGAAGGTTGAGTTTAGAAACTCGACTTCAGTGCTGAGAGTGGGGTGAAGGCACGGAGGAAAACCTTAAGACGTGGCCCACCTGCTGGCTTTTCTGGAGGGGGTGAGAGTAGGGCTTCTCCAGATGTGAATCAGGGTATTGTAAGAGCCCGCTGAAAGCCAAGGAATCAGAAAAGGGAGAAAAACCAAATGTATAGTTTCTGACAATACCATTTAAAATGGAACATAAAAGACAACATTTTATAAGTCTTCCAAAAGTACTGAGGGAAAATAGCTTTGAACCTAGAATTCTTTATCATTTTCACATTGTTGTGCAAGGAGGAGACCCAGTCAGGTTCTCTTATGCCGAGGGTCTTGCCTGAGACCTGAGTGCTGATAGAGTTTGCTCCTCACAGGCCTTGGGGAGGCCAAAAGGGGGATAGAATGTTTGAGGCCTGCTTAATCACCTCTGGCTGCAAAAAGCCATTTGTATGCTTCTGGGTGCCATTCAAGTATTACTTTCACCCCTTGCCATGACCTGGAGATATTTGGGAAGCACTTCAGTAAATAAAAACATTGTCAGACATATGTGAGATCAGAAACCTTACCACCTTTCTGAAAGAACTAAAGGTTATCTTCCAACAAGAAGAAAAACCCAGAAATCACAGGATAGAAGAACCAACTGCTAGCAAATAAGTCATAAAAATATTTGGCTAAGTTAAGGTGTCAAGCCTTTAAAAAATTTGAAGTTTCAGATGTGTGGGAAGGAGATCAGAGAAAAGTGGGGTTAAGGGGCTGGTCTTGGTGGCTCACGCCTATAATCCCAGCACTTTGGAGGCCAAAGAGGGTGGATTACCTGAGCTCACTGGTTCAAGACCAGCCTGAGCCAGAGGGAGACCTTATCTCTAAAAATAGCCGAGTGTTGTGGCAGGCACCTGTAGTCCCAGCTACTTGGAAGGCTGAGGCAAGAGAATCGCTTGAGCCCAAGAGTTTGAGGTTGCTGTGAGCTCTGATGCCACAGCACTCTACCAACGGCGACAAAGTGAGACTCTGTCTCCAAAAAAAAAAAAAAAAAAGTGGGGATAGGCTTTAGTTTTTGAAAACAAAAACCTTAGGCTTATGCACATTAAGAATTAAAATGAAAGCAACAGTAGAACATAAATAGATGATTAAATTTTCAAACCAGCAGAGAAAAAGAAATGGAATAGAATGGAGAAAGAAAATTTGATTAAATCATTTCACAAAGGGCAGGAAAATCAGCCTGCAAACAGAAAACGTACAAGTTCTAGCGTGAGCGGAATTATGATTGTTTTTAATTTATTAAACGTAGAGCATTCTTAGATTGGATAAAAACGTGCAAACTTTAGGTGTTGATGCTTGAAAGAGACACAGCTTTATTCTCACTCGGGGTGAGGATAATAATGAAGGTGTGGTGACAAGGTCCATGTGGCAGGGTTGATTTAGAGGTGCAGTCGGGCAGTGGGCGTGTCCTCCGACAGCACTAGATGAGACGCATACCACTTGCCGGATTTCTCTAGGAGTTCTTTCTTATTGAGTGGAGGGAAAAAAAGGAGTTTCTGCCACTGTTTTATTTGCACTCTGCTCATAAAAATCTGTTCTCTTTCAGCGAATAATTTCTTTTCTTGGATAATCCAGGTATTAAAGCTTTATAACTTAAAATGGCACGTTGAAGATTTGGGATATTTATTAGTGATTTTTAGAAAACTCATTAGTCTCAGAAGTCTGTAGTGGCCCTGAGTAAAGTGAATGCTTAGAGGAATGTATTAGTCTGCTTTTATGAAATCTTTTTATGAAACACTTTACAGAGAGCTTTGAATGGTACATGTGAACTGTGTTAAAATGATCTGTGGAGTGTTTTTGTGCAGAATACTATAGTTATGATTCAGAGTTAATATTATATATACTTCTGAATTTTTCTCAGTGACTTTTAAATTGTTTATAGGTCTTATGGCCGGGCTCCAAAGATGATTCACCTAGAATCTAACTTTGTGCAGTTCAAAGAGGAGTTGCTGCCCAAAGAAGGAAACAAGGCTCTGCTCACGTTCCCCTTCCTTCATATCTACTGGACGGAGTGCTGTGTGAGTCCTCACCGGGCGGGAGGGAGAAAAGTGTGTTGGAATATGGTGAAAAACTTAGGGGTCCAGGTTTGGTTGAGACAACTGTAATTTTTCAAATTTCCTTTTTATGTCCCCTTTTCTCGGGTGTTCTCTTCATTCTCTCAGCCAGTGGGTGGCTATATTGTCGCATGTTTCTGCCTGGTCCAGTGTGTGACACTTAAGGTGACCTCTGGGCACAGTTGCATCTCCTGTGTTTGGGGTTTTGTGAGCTATTTCAGTGGCCGCCAGGCTGAGTCAGTTCTAACTGTGTTCAGTCTTCACTTTCAGTTTGGTTCGCATGACACCTGCATTCACCATCATGCCCCGTACTGGACTTGACATCGATGCTGTCCCTTCTGTGTGTCTGTGGACTGGGGGGCCCTACCCTCCTTCCTGCTATTGCAGCGCCCCTCCTCCCAAGGGAGTGGACCTAAGCGCCCTGGTGTCCCAGCCTTTGCTCGCATCTTCCTCTTGTGTGTTTGTGAACTCAGAACCTTCCCATTCTTGGCAGAGATCTTTTGTTGTGAAATAATAGAAAGTTCTGTAAGTCATTTCTTCCTATATGTTTTGACTCTATTAAAGTGGGCATTTAGTGGCATAAAAGCACATAAATCATTACACACTGACATTTTAGTCGAAATCTGAGAATGCAGGGTAGTTCTTTTGTGATTTTGATGAGACAGCCTCTGGAAGCCTGTGGCTGGTTTTCTGGGACTTGACCCCATGCAGCCTTTCTGGCTGATTTTGCTCTGTGGCTATTCTCAGGGAGTCACACAGGATGGCTTTACTCACTGAGTGTGATAAAATGTGAGATGTTTTCTGCCAGGGAGGCTTGCTGGAGACTCATTGCTCAGGGATTTTATTGAGGCTGGTCACAAAGGCCCCTCCATTAGGACACTGCAGCATTCCACCTTCCCAGAAGGAAGCCAGTAGTTAGCATAACCATATCGTGTGTATGGACAGCGTAGGCCTAGTGAGGTCCTCTTATTACCTTTTAAGCAGGACTGAGAAGGATAGCCATCCTAGGCCTGCTGTGTGAATTCTTCTCTCCATGACCCTTCATTGGTGATGTCAGATTTGATCACTTGGTCAAGGGATTGTCTGGTTTCTCCATGGCATGGTTACTTTTTCCCCCCATGCTTAATTAATAAGCCATCTTTGGGGAGCCACTCTAAGACCATGTCATATCCTCCACATCCAGCTTTCCTGCCTAGATTAGGCATCGTTAATGATTTGTTCCTGAACCAGTCTTTACTAAGGGTTGCTAATCCCACTCCACCCATGCTGTACTCTGAGGAAGAATCCTTGATCACAGGTGTCTAGCCTTTGTTCTGCTGCACATCGGAAGAACAAGACGGATCTCTGGGACACATTAAATTTAGATTTACACAAATCCTCACAGAAGGTGATTAGCATAAAAAGTATTTTTGTGGATATCTGACACCACAGATTACCACAAAAAGTCCTCACAAAATCAGCATGTGGCTGGTTCAACACCCTACAATTACCCTTTTTTGTTCTGATGCCCGACTTGTCCCAGACTTGGCCAGTGAGAGTCACTTCAGGCTGGGTCCCGTGTCCTTTTGCATGCTCTCTAATAACTCCTGGCAGAACAAGGTGTTTGAGGTTCTTGCAGCTTGGTACCCCTGTCCTGGAGTCAGCCATATCTTCATGGGGCTGTGGCAGTGGGTGCACTCAGCTGCCGCTCAGGCAGGAGGCGTGCTCACTCTGTGAGTGGTGCTACTTCTCCATCCTCTGAGTAGAGAGAGCTAAGACGTGTCTTAGAAATACTGGGGTGATGCTGCCACTTCCAGCTTTAGCACAACCCTACAGGGTTTCTTGCCTTAGCCACTTCCATGTTTGTTTCTACTTTTAACACTATTGACACATTAACTTACTTGCTCAGTCCTGCAATGTGTTTTCAGAATGGTTTCAGAATTTCCATATACACCACAACTAAAAATGGACCTACTAAGAAAAGCCCCAGTTTGCTTGCACTTGGAGCGTTTCTGGGACCCACTGCGTGTGTTCAGTGTGTCTCAGCTTTATCTTTGCAGCTTCTCCCTAGCTGCTCTCTTGGATGTGATGTTGGGTATTTTTATTGGGATCATACTGAGTTTATGATGTTAAGACACCCTGCACAAGAACAAAGCAAGTCTGCTGTTGTATTTTGTACTTTTTCTTCAGTACAGATTTTTTAAACTTCTTATTAAATTTATGTCCAATTATATTTTGTTGTTGCTGTTGTAAACGGGGCTTTCTTTCCCATTGTTTCTTCTGGTTGGTTTCTTTTTGAGTATATGAAGGCTGTTGGTTTATTTTCATGTCACTTGGCTGAATCCTTGTGTTGTTTGGTTTGGTGTCGTCATTGATTCTCGAGGCCTCCAGAGCCCAGGATTTTCCAGATGCCATATCACATCATTTGCAGATAGAGCAAGTTTTACTTCTGATGCCTCAAACTGTTTTCTCTGGTCTAAGACATTGTTGCATAGTAGGGGAGATAGTTCCCTTGTTCCTTCCTGGCCTTCCTGGGAATAGCTGGAGCGTTTCCCATCAGGGAGAATGCTGGCTGGGAGGTTGAGGTACATGGGTGTGATCGTGTAAAGGGAGTATCTATCCATTCCTGATTTCTCAAGCGTTCTTTCAGTCATTTCAGAAAATTATGGGGTAAAATGTTTTGGTTGCATGAATTGCTTTTGTACAGTTTGAGTAAAAGTTATAAGTGCTTCTCAAGCATTTTTATTAGGAATATGAATTGAATTTTGTCAAAAGCTTTTTCAGACTCATGGAGGTAATCATATCATTTCCCCCCTTAATATCTACTGATGTATTGAATTATATTAATGGGTTTCTTAATGTTGAACTATACTTGGATTCTTGGTATAAGTCCCACTTGGTCATAGTATTATTTTTTTAATGTTGTATTAGAGCCTGTTCACTTAAATTTTGTTATTTACAATTTTTTGTTGTCTGTATTCACAAGTGGTTGGTCTGTAACTTTTGTGCTGTCTTTATGAGGTTTAGGTATTGATGTTATACTTGATTTATTAAAAGAACTTGGATGTTTTTACTTTCTATTTCTGAAATAATTTATGTATCATTGGAGCTGTCTGGTCTCTGGGTTTAATGGAATTCTGTGAAACTCTCTGAACTAGCTACTTTCTTATGGGATAGTTCCTTTATAACTTTCTGAAAATTGGTCAGACATTTGTAAATTTTGATAACCTATTTTCCTTAGAAATTACATATTTTATTAAGTTTTAAAGTTGATTGTCATTAAGGTATATGAAGTGGTCTTTTTTGACATATGCTCTGTGTCAGTCTTATTTCCCCATCATTATTTCTTATTTTGTATATTTGTACTTTGTCTTTTTTGATTAAGTTAGCTACTTTGATTTCTTTTTCCCCCCAGAGAACCAGGAATTTTATTCATTAATCTAGTTTACTATTAGTCTGTTTTTGTTTCTTTTTCTTTTTTTTTTTTTTTTGAAATAGAGTCTCACTATGTCACCCTTGGTAGAGTGCTGTAGGCGTGACAGCTCACAGCAACCTCAAACACTTGGGCTTAAGCAATTCTCTTGCCTCAGCCTCCCAAGTAGCTGGGACTACAGGTGCTGCCCAAGGCCTGGCTATTTTTTAGAGACAGAGTTTCGCTCTGGCTTAGGCTGGTCTTGAACTTGTGAGCTCAGGCAGTCCACCTCCATTGGCTTCCCAAGTGCTGGGATTATAGGTATGAGCCACCATGCCTGGCCCTATTAGTCTGTTTTCTACCTCATTAATTTCTGCTTTCATTTTTATTATTTATTTCTTTTTGTTTTCTTATGGTTTACTTTGTTCTTTTTCTAGATTTTTTTTTTTTTTTTTGAGTTAACAGTGCACTGATTTTCCTTTTTTCGTTTTTATTGATACAAGTCTTTAAAGTTATGAGTTTTTCTCTGGTTACTGTTTTAAATATTTTCTAATGTTTCATCATTATTTTTCAGAAAATATCTATTTACTGTTTGTGTTTCCCTTTTCACCTAATTTTGTTTGAATTTTTTTTAGTTTTCTAAAAGAAATTTTTGAAAAATGTCATTAAAAATTCTATTTTGATTGTATTGCAATTAGAAAGTGTTTATAATATTTCTGCTTTATAAAACTTTATCTCTGTGACTAAATAAATGATCAGTTTTTGTGGATATTCCATACGTGTTTGAGAATGTAGTTTCTTTATTTTAAGATTGTAATGTTAAATATTTATTCATAAGATCTCTCTTACTCATCTGTCTTGTTGCTTAGATCAGTAATATTTTCATTTTTGGCCGTTTCACTTAACTTTAACTGGTGATTACCTGGTAAAGTCTACTATTATAGGTGTGATTTTATTTCTCTTGCCTCTTCTGTAGTTGCTGTTTTGTGTAAGTGGTTGTATTGATGTGTTATTTGGTGTGTAGATACTTAAAACTATTGTAATTTTTATGGAGCGAAGTGTGTCATTTAAAAAATGGTTTCTGGGTAATGTATCTTATTTAGGAAAGCCTTGTCTATCTGAAGATAACTGATTTTCTCCTCTATTTTAACAATTTTATAATTTGATTCTATATTTGTATGTGTTTAGTTTTAGGATATTTTTATATAGTTAGGAGCTGTGGAGGTTGAGGGTCTAAATGGGAAGCAAATTAGTCTACCACTATTTCATAATTGTCTGTATTTTTGCCAATTATTGGAAATAGCACCTTTATTTTATTTTATTATTATTTTTTTTGAGACAGAATCTCATTTGGTCACCCTTGATTGAGTGCTTTGGTGTCATAGCTCACAGCAACCTCAAACTCTTGGGCTCAAGCGATCCACTTGCCTCAGCCTCTTGAGTAGCTGGGACTACAGGAGCTTGCCACAATGCCTGACTTTTTTTTAGAGGCAAGATCTCACTGTTGCTCAGGCTGGTCTCGAACTTCTGCACTCAAGTAATCCTCCAGCCTTGGCCTCCCAGTTTGCTGGGATTACAGGTGTGGGCCACCATGCTGGCCTAACATCTTTAGTTTAAACTAATATCCTTTATACACAATATTCTGGACATTGATGTATTGATCATTGTTTATTTTGTGCCAGAATAAGACTTGCAATTGTTACATTTTTATGACGTATTGATAATTGCTCTTTTGAAAGAAACATCTTGGCTGGCATGAGAATGTTATAGGCTTTTCCTGTCCTCCCCTTGCCTCATCCCTGGGCCGGCCATTTCTCCAAGAGCACTGGCTTCTGCCAGTGGTGTATGTAGAAACCAGGATGTAGATCTGAGGGTGCTCTTTGGTGAGCTCGCAGTGGGCCAGCTGGACGATGGGCCTGCAGACAGACGTGTGTGTCCAGTGCAGCACCACAAGGTTGGGTCTAGTTTCCTCCCTTTGCATTTTTATAACCCCCTTTTCTGACAGGAAGGATCCAGGTGCTCATTCTCCGTCTGTCTGCTGACTGGGGCAGTTCCCTTCCTGCAGCTGCTCTCCTGTCACTCTACTTCTGAGAGGAGGGGGCCTTGCCTCTGCACTTGGCTGACTCTGTGCCAGTTACTCCCTCCTGGCACAAACTTCCTCGTTGCCTCACTTCCTGAGGGAGGCACCCACAACCATGCCCTCTCTGCCCTGCTTGGCCTCTGACACCTGTGCCAGCCCTGAGTTCATGCATCCTGTCACTTGAGGTCTCATGTCTTATGCTGCACCTTGCTCTGCCACCACCTCGCCATACCCTCCTCACCTTGCCGAGCGAGCTCTTACCCAGGAGGCCTGTCTCCCCCAGGGACATCCTCCTTGTCCCATTTTGGCCTTGATGTCCTACCTTTGGCTGCTGCCCCCTTTGTGGGCACCTTATCCTTTGGGTTGCCTGTCTGGTCCTGCCTGTATCACTCCTCCCTGCTCACGGGGATGGGAGTGTTAGCTTTGTTTGTAGTAGAGACTGTTGGCGTTAGCTTCGCTGGTATGGCCTGGTCCCCTTATGAGCTGTGGTATCATCTTCATGATGTCGTGTTGGCTTATGGCGGTGAGCGATGGCTGCATCACGTCAGCGGACAGCTCAGAGTCGAATCCTTAGAGCTGTAAGGAATGTCTGTGTTCCTACTGCCCTGCTTTCTGGTTTGGGAAGTCTCTTCTGGAGAATCCCTGCAAATTGACTTAGCGGAGCTGTGAGGGTATCCCCTTGGGGTGTGGTAGGCCCTTCCTAATGTGGAGAGCCTGTGGCCAGGACTCTTCTCCTGGGGTGGGGACAGGCAGGAGTCTGGGTAGATGGCGCCTGGTGGCCTTGGAATGGCCAGGGAGGCGTTCACAAGCTCCCTGGGTGGCTCACCCTGTGACTGCTGGGCATTCTGGTTGCAGGCAGGCACTCTGGGCTGCTCTTTGTCCTAAAGCTGCTGGAGTTGGAGGCTCTGGGCCCCACTGGCCTTTGGTTTCCGCTTCTAGGCATGATGCATTTGGGACTCTGGGAGGGACAGCAGCACACTGGCATTGTAAAGCCTATGCTTTGTCCTAAAAACTGCCCTTTTGTGCAAAATACGCACCATGTATTAACTTATCGTTGGATATTTGCAGAAAATTGGTTTTTGCAGGATGGTTCTTCTCTCACTTTTTAAGTAAAAGTTCTTATTCATACTATATTTGTAACTTAAATCAGGATATAGCAGTTTTTTAAATCAATAGAAAAATGAAAATTACTGCTTTTAGAACTTTGTGTTTAGTTATTTGACCCAAAATGCAGAATTTAAGATTTAGCTCACGTGTGGCTCTCTCAGGTTAGTGTATGTCTCTTAGCAGTGTCATTCAGAAGGGACAGAAAACCCCAGGCAGGATGGGTGGAAGTATTAAAAGAGAGAAAAACATAGTTAACAATAACTCCTAATTATTGTTTCCAAAATTTTCTCAGTGCCTAATTAAGTGACTTGGTTTTAGATTTTCTGGATTTAAATGGAATTAGAATCTGAGTGGATTTATGGAGTAATAAGAATGATTTACAAATAAGGTTACAAATAACAAGGAAGATGTCTGTTTCCTGGGTTCTTGCTGGAAGATAAATTAGCTGCACTGCTCTGCTTCCCTGGAGGAGGGATCCTTTGTGGGATTCTAAATGAGGAATGGGGTGGATTTTGAGGACTAGGGTGCTTCCTGTTGAGCCCTGTGATTAGACTATCGTTGGGAAGCCTTCGTCCTGGGTGTCTCAGCTGAAGCCACCTTGCCTCTTGCGTGGCCTTTGTGGGTTTGTGATTGGAACAGTTCCAGGGACTTGAGAGAGCAGAGGGTCTGCGGTGGGAGGCTGGGCTGGGTTCCCACCCAGGCTGTAGCACCACAGGGCCTGGCCCCTGATGGGATGGTGGTCGTGTTGTGCTTGTTTACCACAGACTTGGGTTTACAGCTCCAACCTGCCTAATGGGCTGCCCTGCTGTGGGCAGCCGGCTTAGCTCTCTGACTCCCCACCTCAGCCTCAGAGACCTTGCTGCTCACTTCCCTCTGTGTTGCCAGTGCCTGGGACTGTGTGTGTGTTCTCACATCTGCACAGTGCGCTGCAGGCTTAATCGGCCACTGGGCTTTTCACGCACCTTGTGCCTTAACGAAAGCATTGTGGCCGTTGGGCTCTGTTATTAGACACATTGGCCACATAAACCTAAGGGCACTGATTAACTTGCTTACCATGACTGATTTATTTTTAGGATACTGAAGTGTATAAAGCTACCGTAAAAGATGACCTCACCAAGTGGCAGAATGTTCTGAAAGCCCATAGCTCTGTGGACTGGTTAATAGTGGTAGTTGAAAATGATGCCAAGAAGAAAAACAAAACCAACATCCTTCCTCGAACTTCTATTGTGGACAAAATAAGAAATGACTTTTGTAATAAACAGAGTGACAGGTAAGTGCGTCTTTGTGCCTCATTTGGTTGCTACCTGGGTGGTGCAGATCGCTGGCTTCCGGGTGGTAGTGCGCACTCACCCAGCCATCTCCAGTGAGGGAGTGTGGGGAGCTGAGTGGAGTTCCCATCCTGGCAGGAACTCAGGATGATGCAAGTGGGAACCCCCCAGTGTCCTGCCTGGGAGGGTGGCTCTAGGCCCCGTAGCTCTGGGGACCCTACATGGCAGATCCTTTCTGAAGACTAGTACTGAGATGCCTTGTAGTACTTGCATAGAATAGGGTGCTTTAAACTTTTTAAACTGTGAGACCCTGTGTTTTCTTTTTTTTTCCTGTCATGCCTATTAAGAGTTCCTAAGAACAGAAGTTATAAAGTGCTGACTTAATTCCTTCAGAAACTTTAAAGGGAGCCCAGGAGTTTGGTAGTTAGTTTCTTCAGTTAACTGCATGGGTTTCTGTCCCCTGTCCTTGCTGTCTCTGAGTGTAACTCACCTCCTTTTGCTTCTGCATTGCTGCTCCTGGCTGAGCCAGCTGGCACGTTAGCTCCTATGTGACTGATGGTCCCTGTCTAATAGCTTAGCACTCGAACACACCCAGGTCCTGGGGAGACAGTGGGAGCCACCACGATCACAGTGGCAAGTGGCAGATGAGAAGGTTCTAAAGTGCTGTGAGAGCCTGCTGTTGGGTGGCCAGAATGCAGTGGTGGGCTAAGAAGTGGTGTGTAGGTGCAGTGAGGGCTGGGGTGGACCAGTTCTGGGCATGCGAGGTGGACCAGTTCTGGGCATGCAGCCTGGAGCAGCCACAGAGGGCTACCAGTAGAAACCTTTTTTATTTTGGAGACAAAGTGTTATGCTGTCGCCCTGGGTAGAGTGCCATGGCGTCATAGCTCACTGCAACCTTCACCTCTTGGGCTTAAGCAATTCTCTTGCCTCAGCCTCCCAAGCAGCTGGGACTACAGGCGCCAGCCACAACACCCAGCTTTTTTTTGGTTGTAGTTGTCATTGTTGTTTGGTAGGACTGACTGGATTCGAACCCACCAGCTCTGGTGTATGCGGCTGACGCCTTAGCCACTTGAGCTACAGGTGCCGAGGCCAAGAAGCCTTTTTCATGTTCTACACAGTTGTTTAAATTTGCTTTATTTATATTTGAATTAAATAATTAGATTGTTGAGCTGATGGCAAATCTTAGAGAAATTTATGCAGTCTGGACCTATGGAAACTTGTTCTTAAATTATTCATAAATTAACTAGCCAAAGGAATTAGCTTAACAGTTTAAGCTACACGGTGGGTGCCCTTTCCCTGACTATTGTTCAAATACTGACATTTTTTGGTTCTGAAAAGAGTATACTGTGGTGCAGCCTGGAAGGAGGAGAGCTCCGCAGTCCAGTCCAGGGGAAAGGCTGACGCTGGGAGAGCATGGGGCAGGGCTGAAGGCAGAACCAGGTGGCCACTGCCCTGTTTGTTAATACAGCGAAAGAAATTGTATTTGTTTGGGGTTGTGTTAATTAAACAAGTTGGTACTAATGAGGTATATGAATGTCAGTTTGTGAAATGTTCAAATTATCTAATGATTTTTGCAAAGTACCTATTGATTTTACTTTAAAGTCTGTCTTATAATCTTTAATTTCCAAAAATATGTTTCTGCTGAGCCTTTTAAAAATTAACATGGCTTTTAATGACTGTTCTTTATACATACAATTTAATTTAATAAACTTTTTAACATTTCATCTTCAGTAGGTTTAAATATGTTTTCTACTATTTTGATTTTCATTAATTTGTAAAGCCACTTTTTAACAAATCTATTTTTTTTAATGTAAAAATCTTGGTCAGATATTCATATATTTGAATTTAGTACCATTTGTACTGACAGTTGTTTTATTATGTAGTATAATTTCTGGCCTTTGAAAATATTGTAATACTTTACCCTGAAAAGGCCTATTATTTTTTAACTGTATACCTGTGTTTAATTTTAATTTTACATATGCATGTTCATTGTAGAATTATTAGAAAAAAGAAGGAACAAAAAGAAAATGAATATTAACTCTTAGTATTTTTTTTTTTAATTTTTATTTTTGTAGAGACAGAGTCTTTACTTATCGTGCTAGGTAGAGTGCCATGGCGTCACACAGCTCATAGCAACCTCTAACTCCTGGGCCTGGGTGATTCTCTTGCCTCAGCCTCCTGAGTAGCTGGGACTACAGGGGCCCACAATGCCCAGCTATATTTTTGTTGCAGTTTAGCCAGGGTCAGGCTTGAACTTGCCACCCTTGATATATGGGTCTGGTGCCCTACCCACTGAGCCACAGGCACTGCCCAACTCTTAGTATTTTGGTATTGTCTTTCTAGACTTTCTTCTCATTATGCATACATACAACACTTGTGTATTTTAAAATGGTGATATACTGTGTATACTGTCTTATATTTGCTTTTTCACTTAATATATTATAAAACTTTTTCATAAATAATAAACGTATCTCTTTACTCTCATAATTAACAAGTGTATGATATTCCACAGTACTAACGTACCATAAATTATTTATACAGTTCTCTGCTGGGCTTACAGGTTATTGCTTACTTATCATTATAAACAACAATATCATGAACATCTTTCTAGCTTAAATGTTGTAAACATCTTTAATTATTTCAAGATAAATTCCTTAAAGGAAAATTGCTTGGTAAAAGGTTTTATTTATTTTTCATGCTTTTGGTAAATGAGGCCAAGGGAGAGGGTGGACTTGTTAATAGTTGTGCCAGCAGCAGCCCAGTGATGCTCTGAAATTCCAGGCTGGAGCTCCTTGTCCCACTTGGGGCCCAGCTGCTCAGGGTAGCTGTGATGTCAGCCACTCTCCAGGTTGGACTGTCCTGGCAGCTTATACAGTGATAATATACTGCACTCCTTGGGGAACTGAGACATGAACTGGCTCTGATCCCTTTTAGTGGGGAGGATTGATGGGAATTAAAGCAGCTACCAGCTTTTAAGTTTTCTTCTTATAGGACGTATAGAGTATATTCTGCTTCACCTTTTTTGTCCACTGATTTGTACTTCTGTGGATTTAGTCATCCCACATAGGACATGCTGGGACACAGAGAAGGTGAAACTTAGAGTCAGTTTATTTTGCTACTTGTTGGGAATCCAGGTAAAATATTTACTAAGAACAAATGCTGAAGCTCATAGCATAAGTATTTTAATGTTATTCTGAGTTCAGATTTATTCATCCTCTTCCTTAAGTACAGTTACTAAGGCTAAAGATAGTTACGATTTCCAGCCTATTCATGAACACATTACCTTTTCCAACTTCATTGGAAAATTTCTTGTAATTTTGTGTCTTTGATTTTTTTGCAGCATGGGTATAGTCTCTTTGTAGCTAACTTGTATCAAAGCTCTATGTTAAGTAGTAGCATGCCAAGCCTTTATGTAATCCAGGAGTCCTCAGACTTTTTAAACGGAGCAGTTCACTGTCCTTCAGACCATTGGAGGGCTGGACTACGGGCCTCAGGATGAGTTGGCTGCTAAGCAGGACAGGCAGCAGCAGCAGAAACACCTGGCGGGCCAGATAAATGTCCTAGGCGGGCTGCATGTGGCCCGCAGGCTGTAGTTTGAGGACACCTAATCTTAATCCTTTATTAACCCTGCCCTTGAAGCACTCAGAGGCTGGTCGGAGAGACAGACTTACAGAGAGGGAAAGTGTGATCACTAGCTGGAGATGGTGATGGGTAGGTCCTTGAGAATGTGATGTCTGGGTGAGTAGGAATGTGCTTGGTGAAGTGGGGAGAGCAGATGAAATTAGTGGACTTGAACTGGGAATAGGAGGAATTGAAACTAGACGGCAGAATAGGTCCATGTTGTCATGTCCTCATGTGCTACACCAGAAGTCTGAACTTCCGTTGTTGATCACGTGGACTCGAAGCGGGCAGGGCCAATGAGGGACCTGAGTGGGGACAATCATCTCTTTTTAAGAGGACCTGGAGGTGGGTCTGTGGCTCATACTGCTCCTATATCCCTCCTTCTACGCACACCAGCTGCACTGACTTCTGGAGCTTGTGCAGGACTCTTGCCCACCCCTCATGGCAACAGACCAGTTTGTGCTGAAGCCACTTCCTGCCCAGCTAGTGCCTCACCAGCTGCCTCATGTTATCTTTCACTATATAAATTTTGAGGGGAGGGGCAGGGTCTCACTCTGTAATGTGGGCTAGAGTATAGTAGCATCATCATAGCTCACTGTAGCCTCCAACTTCTGGGCTCAAGGGATCCTCCTACCTGAGCCTCCCGAATAGCTGAGCCTACAAGATGCCCAGCTAATTTTTCTATTTTTTGTAAAGATGAGGTTTTGCTCTGATGCTCAGGCTGGTCTTGAACTTCTGGCCTTAAGTGATCCTTCCACCTTGGCCTCCCAAAGTGTTGGGATTACAGGCATGCACCACTGTGCCCAGGTGTTTTTCACTGCCATTTAAAGACAGAAGGAAGGAGAGAGGGAGGTGGAAGGAACTGCTGACGCTCAGGCGAAGGGTGGCAGTGAGCATTGGCACTGTGCGTGGAGGGTCTTTCCAGATAGTCCATTCATGTCTTTGCAGGTGTGTCGTGCTCTCTGACCCCTTGAAGGACTCTTCTCGAACTCAGGAATCCTGGAATGCCTTCCTGACCAAACTCAGGACATTGCTTCTTATGTCTTTTACCAAAAACCTAGGCAAGTTTGAGGATGACATGAGAACCTTGAGGGAGAAGAGGACTGAGCCAGGCTGGAGCTTTTGTGAATATTTCATGGTTCAGGTATTTCACTAATTCCTTTCCTCCCTCTTTCCCTTCCTCCCTCCCTCTTTTTTTCTTTTTGATTAAGGCACCTGTCATGGTGATTCTAATTGGGATGGTTTTAAAAGCAAGAGACTGAAGTAGTAGCCAGAGCAGACATGGAGCCTCTAGAGGTGCAGAAAGGGTCCCTGGGGCCGCCCAGCCAGCCTCCTGGGCCCCAAGCTCGGCATCCAGCCAGGTCTGGAGGCTTGTCCTCAGAGGAGTCTTGGCTTTGTTCACATCTCAGGTGTTTTCTGGGGTGTCTCCTGGGAATGAATTATGCAGAGGCACCCCAATTACAGGGGTAAAGCTATCTGTTCACAGTGAGGTGCTGTGGTTGAATGATAACTTACTGAGTACCTTTTTTTGGTTTTATAACCTTGAGTTTCAGTTATTAAGCTGGTTTTTTTTTTACCGTAGTTTACAGAAATGTCTAGGTTTTTAAAATTGGTTTATAATTAGTTTTTTTTCCTTTTTAAAAGAAAAGTATCTTTTTTTCTTTTTTTTTTTTT